CCCCCCCCCCCGGGAGAAAGCAAAGGCAACGGTCTAACCACTCCCCCACACACCACCATGAGCCCCCCCCCCCCCCCCCCCCCCTCCATTTTTCGGCCTTTGTAACCCCTTTCTGCAAACAGGTGGACGACGTGGAGGTCAACCCGATCCTCATCCAGAAAGGCTTGACCAAAGTGGCACTCTACGGGATGGGGAGCATGAGGGACGAGAGGCTCAACCGCATGTGGCAGCAGAAGAAGGTTAGCGGCGTGTTTTCTCCCAAGGGGGGGGGGTGGGGGGGGGTACTCATAGTCGTGCATGCCGTAGTCGTTAGACCAGTGACCTTGCTTTCTCCCAACGGGGGTGGTTTAATTCATTCTTTTCCTTGTGGATAACACGCACAACAGCAGTAGAAGGTAGCCCAGGGTGCTTTCTCGCAGAACGGGACCTGCCTGATTGGTGTTTTCTCTCTAGGACAACACGTACAACAGCAGCAGCAGCGCTTGCATCATACGCCCTGGAGAAGATAGCATGGCTGCTGTCTCGTGCCTTGCTACGGCGCTGAGTCTCGGGGACGCCGTTTTTGGTTGGTTTCCCTCACCCTTGACTTTCGACATGGATGGATCATGGATGATGCAGGTCAGGTTTCTCCGCCCACTGGAAGACGACGGAGGCAAGGACTTCTTCAACGTTTTCGTCCTGCACCAGGTAAAAGAGGTGTAGTCTAGACAGCGCGCGGGGGGGAGAGGTATTTCATGCCTCAGCGGTTAGACTATTGACCATGCGTCCTCGAGAGGACGTGGCATTGTTCCCACAGGACCGATCACCGATTGCCAATCGTTCCTTGCTACTTTGCCAACGTTGGCTCAAAAATGTTGTCCCTACCCTTTCCTTTTGATATGCCCTGCCAGAACCAGGTAATATACAAACCAACCACACATGAACATCACTTCCCGCCTTTTCAACCCTACAATTGTCGACCGGGGCTTCCTAGGATCGATACCACCCCCCGTTATACTGCTAGGCGGCAGTGGTAGCAACATTCCTAAGAAATGCGGCCGGCGTCCGCACATCTTGCTTATTTTGGTTTCGGCACCAGAGAAAGGGTAAGACTGGGAGAGGAGGTATGCAGGCAAGACGGGGTAGGCACGGACTCGTTCCACACGTCGATGCACACAAAACATTCAACATCGAGGGGGGAAGCCGTAGTGTGGACCAAGAGGGATACTGGTATAGGAGGGGAACGCTCCTGCGGCACACTTGTGCCGGCCCGCGGATTGTGATATTTTGTACGGGCGCCAAGATTTTTAGCATGTGTCGCTATGCTTTCGGGAGAAAATTCTCTCTGTGCCGCTCACAGCGCTGGGATTTTCACACACGCTGAGAGCCCAGCGTTCGGGTCACTTGCATTTGGAGTACATCTTGGTGCCCCGTACAAAATGTGACAATCCGCGGGCCGGCACAAGTGTGCCCCAGGAGCGTTCCCCTCCTATACCAGTATCCCTCTTGGTCCACACTACGGCTTCCCCCCTCGATGTTGAATGTTTTGTGTGCATCGACGTGTGGAACGAGTCCGTGCCTACCCAGTCTCGCCTACATACCTCCTCTCTCAGTCTGCGGTACAATTTGCTTGTAGTTTCTCCGTTTATTGTTGCTTATAAGTGCCTCATGTATCTTTTGTTTGATGCCGGCAGAACCGAGACCTCGGGCGGGGTAAGAAGAACTGCATCCACGAATCGATGATCCCCGAGTGGATAGACCTGGTCATCTGGGGACACGAGCACGAGTGCCAGGTGTGTTCAACAAACCAAACCTTGTGTCTTACGTGAACTATTTGTTTCTGTTCGTGTTGTTGCATTTTGTTTCATTCCTTGTATGCGTGTCCTCTTGTTTTGTTGCACGTGTACTTTGCTTTGGTGATTTTTTTCTCATGCGTGTGAGCGCGTATTTGTCCGTTGTCATGTGGTGCTCCATGGACTTCCATGTGGTCTAGGTGGTAACCTCGGAACCTTCTAGAGGTCAGGTCAGGGGTTCGAATCCCGGCGTAAGCGAGCTTTCCTTGTATTGTAGTGAGTTTTTCTCTCGCTTCCGCTCCTGGCCTAGTGGATAGCGCTAGTTCGTGTGTACACAGAGGGAAGAGAGTGCTGAACTCTTCTCGCATTAAAAATCGAAGGCAAAGTACCGCAGGAGTGGAGGGGAGAGAGGGGCTCTTCTGTGTGACCACGGGTTGGAGTTAACGGCACTAGTGCTGTGAGCGCTGATTTGAAGTGAAGACAAAAAAAAAAAATGTGATGATACCGGCACCTGAAGCGGTTGCGTGACTCGCTGATTCCGAATGCCTTGGAGCAATGGAAAACACGACTTTTGTCCTGGGCGGGCAGCGAAATGGTTTTGAAACGTCTATTGTAGCGATAAATCAGGGTTTGTGGTGTTGGTCCCTGTTCACTTGCCGGAGCTCTGGCTGACACGGGCGCGCCACGTCTTCGTTTCCTTGGCAGGGCTACAACACCTCTGCTCCCAACACTTTTGGTCGCCGGTGTTGCCTGCGCCGATTTTTGTTTTGTTGTGCCCAGTGATAAAAAGGCGTTCTTGGATGCGGAGCCTTGCATTTGCTGACCCTTGGTTGTGTGTTCCGGGAGGAGGGGCGGAGAAGGGGGCATCGTGTTTTCAAACTCAGCTCGAGGTTTGGGGGAGCTGCCACCCAGACGCGGAGGAAAATTTGGATGGGATGCCAACATGCGTGTGCTTGCTCATCCCCTCAAATCGTTTTCGTCAGGGGTTGTGTGTTTTCCTCATGGAGGATGCATCGCGGGTAGGGTTAACCCATCTCAGGGGGTAACTTTGCTGCCTTCCCGTATCACGCCGCTGCCGGTAAATCATTACCCCGTCACCAGTGGGAGACAGCTTTTGCCGTGCTGCCACAGGCTAGCCAAGCGAACCATCGTGTTCTTCACAACTGTTCACCGCCCTTGCACCTTTTCTGTTCCTGTGTGTGTAGGGGAAGCCGCCTGAGGGAAATAGCTGGTACGTACTGCCACAGGCTAGCCACGTTATCCTCCTAGTGCTTGTGGCCACTTTTCACCGCCCTTGCACCTTTTCTGTTCCTGTGTGTGCAGGTTGAGCCGATGGAATCTCTGGTGGGAACATTCCGCATCTCCCAGCCGGGGTCCTCGGTGGCGACCTCCCTGTGCGAGGGCGAGGCCGTGCCGAAGAACGTGGGGCTGCTCGAGATCAGGGGGAACGACTTCCGCCTTCAGGCGGTCCCGCTCTCGCAGGTGCTCGTGTCTTGTTCTTGCGCTCTGGTTTGCCCGCCTCCTGCTGCGATTGACGATATTTACTGCTGCTGTACACCGATATCTCATCCCGTTTATTCCTCACAGCGGATCAGTTTTTCATGTTGCGTGTCGGATTTGGTGAGATAGGACTAAAAATATCCCGATGTAGTTCTGTCGTTTGTGCCAAGTGCGATTCGTTCGATAGCGTAACGGCATTCATCTTTGAACCAATCCCGCAGTTGGTGCAACTGAAGACACCACTCCACGAAAAGAGAGACAGACGTACAGAGAGGGAGAAACAAAAAGAGAGAGAGACATACAGAGAGAGGGAGAGAGGAAGAGAGAGAGAGCGAGAGCGAGAGCGAGAGAGAGAGAGAGAGAGAGAGAGAGAGAGAGAGAGAGAGAGAGAGAGAGAGAGAGAGAGAGAGAGAGAGAGAGAGAGAGAGAGAGAGAGAGAGAGAGAGAGAGACGGAGACAGAGACCTACCCCCCATTTCAGTCACGGAGACCCCTCCCGATGGTTCTTCTGCCGTGCCTTTTCCTGCCGCGTCGGTGTGGTGCAGGTTCGGCCGTTCCGCATGGGGGAGATCGTTCTCAGCGAGGTGGACGGGCTTGACTCAAAGGGCGCCAACGTGAGCACCACTGTTCTCGTGCTTGTATCCCTTTCTTTTTCCCATTCATCTGCAGTACTTGACATACCCATCGAGCTGTTCCGTCCTCGAACGTGTAGACTGCCCCATTGGCGTTGAGAGTACGAGAAACAGGCCTACCGGCTGCTAGTGCTGCTAGTGTCGGAGGGTGGTTGCAGCGAGAATGATGACGATGAGAAAGACATCGACAGTTTATATTGATGGTATGCACAGCAGTCGTGTTTTCCTTTGACGTCGCTGTCGGTCTGGCTATTTGTATGTCTGGCTGGCGTGCGGGGTACATGTATTTTTCCCACAACGCAAGAATTTTGTGAATTAACCGCGAAGCAAAATAAAGTAAATCCTCGGAGCATCGCTTCGTTTTTCCATCGCTGGTGTCTCTCTGACAGCTGTCTAAAGTTGTAGCGATGGTGCAAACAGCCGGGGTAGTGTGACTGGCGATCGGGATGCAAATTATTCCAAAGAGTACCAAGAATTCTGCGCATTGACAACGTAGGAGAACAAACAGTATATCCTGGAAGCAAAGCGCTTCTTTGTTTCCGTCGCGGGTGTCTCTCTAACGCTGTCTGATGTGGTGTTCAATTGACAGGTTGACGAGGCGGTGGGTGAGGCGCTTGCCAATCAGGTGGAGCAAATGGTAGAAGAGCTGCGCAAGGAAGACGAGGAGCTCGCCCTGACACCCCCAGAGGGGCAGGAGGTACCCCCCCCCGCCCCCCCATCTGGCTTCTATTCCGCCCCCCCCCCCCCCCCCCCCCCCCCC